CTCCTCGCCTGATTTTGATTGATTACAAAGCATACAGCGACAGAGCAGAAATTTTATCGCGGTTGAGGGTCCCGCACAGATGCACGGAAGCTAAGCCACCGGTGACACGGCGGTCGATCGGCGGAGGTCTTTCATCGTAGCAGCCGCCCAGATCGCATCGGTACAAAAAGAATAACTCTGCTCGACGTACGGGCAACACAAATTTCATCGTAGGGCTGCAGCCAGGAAGAAAGCAACCTGGCCGCCGTAGATCATCACCCAACATTTTATTCATTCCAGCATCATCAAAGTCGAACCACATGCGTTCATAGACGCAACAACACGCACTCAGCTAGGCTAGCTATAGTCTGACGCTCTCATGGTCACTGAGGCAGATCTAGCTAGCTCAGCCATATGTACGTGGATGGTGCCTAGCAGTGCGGGACGGCGAGGCCGCAGGAGTGGAGGGTGTCGCGCGCGTGGGGGCTGCGGATGTACTGCCCGTAGTTGGGGTCCTTGGCGTACTGGCAGAAGCACCCCTGCTGCGCCCGCAGGTTGCCGCAGCACTCGCCGCTCGGCTTGGCCCCGGACAGGATGGCCGAAGCGCACACCGCCAGCTGCGACGCCTGGCACGCCGCGCGTGCCCCGCCCGGCGCCGCCGCCAGCACCACCAGCGCCAGCATCAGCGTCGCCGCCACCTGCTTCTGCTTCTTCCCCATGGACGCCATGGTTCACGCTCTCGCTCTTGCAGGCGTGTCTGTGTGTGTGATGGGAGTGGAGTGTACTGGTAGTTGTGTGGGAGATGGATCTAGGAGCTCCTGGGGTATTTATAGCTGGCCACGCACTGCCGGCCGTGGCCCCAGCCGGCCATGTGCATGCCATGCGGCGACACGTAGGGAGCGTACGCGGCCATCGCCGCCGACGGAGCAGGTGAGCGATTAAAGATGCAGGGGCAATAAGTGAAATGCGACGACGTCCATCACTGCACTCTACCCTAGAGCATGCACTGAATTGCACCAGCTCGCCATGACTACGGTCAGCAGAATGGTTTACGGGCACACTTTGGACGTCCTCCATTCAACTCCAGTGGGTAGTTGGCCGGTGTGTTGGTTGCCCGCTGGCTCTGCTCCGTGGGTGGTAGGCGGAAGCTAGCGGACGACACGACTTCATTCATGCGAGGCATCCAAAGGTAGGTGATGCGAAACGTCCAAACGCGCTAGTGTCTTGCATGATAGATACTCCTAGATAAATGGATTAATTCATAGTCTTTATTGATGTGCATCACTTGATGCGGAGGTCACAGGCCAGGGTATTCCTCCTTTAAAAAAAATCTTTATTGACGATGGAATTGGCGGGATATTTGCTTAAGAAAAATATAAGAGCACTGAATCATAGCCTTTTTTCTGAATACACAAAGCTTGTGTGTCACGGCGTTGTTTTCCTTCATGAAGGCATCGTCTTGTTTGCTCGTCGCATGCACAGCGATGGATTTTGATATTTGGGACATCGCTTTGGTTCAGGTCATTCTTTGGTAGGGTAGTTTTGCGCTATGTTGCAGCTTCTGTTTGGGCCGAACATCCCATTGAGGTGTGCATTAAAAGACCTCTTGGTCAAGCTTCTAGCATGGCAATGGTGGCGTTTTTTGGTGAGCTAACTCTACAACAGGGAGAAAGCCATCAAGCTGCTCCGTCCTATTGATGATAAGCTTACAAGTGGGGACAGCGAAGGTCCCGCGGAGCTGCTTATGCCACTCTTCCATTATTTTGATGTCCCCGGTTCCAACTGTTGCATGGTGACTGAGATGTGCGGGTATTGAGCCAAGCACCATGGATTGATGGATGAAGTCTCATTTGTAGATGGATTCTTCTACGTCTTATTTAGTAAGTCCGATGCTGACTTAATGTTCATCCTCCTTTCAGGTTGAAGGCCTTCATCATCGTATATTCAAAGTCCCACCGAAAAGATACATAGTTTCTGTTGGAATAATTTTTCCTTTGTCTGGCTTTTGATTTGTGCCATATTGTTATCCATTAGTTCGCATCTCAAATTGGTACTTTCTTTGTTCTTGAGAGTTTTGAAGGTTAGCGACTGTTGGGTTTGCTGAATTGGTAGGTTTTAAGTTCATTTATACAAGTTTTTGTGTATGTGGCAACATTTGGTTGTCTCCTTTGTTCTAGAGGATAGTTAATGAATTACCTGCATTTTGATGATATTCAACTTAGGGAACAAGATAATTGCACATACATGGATCCAACATAAATTTATTCCTTTTACATTTGACTCTAGCATTGCTGATTCTGTTGCACTACTTTTATGTATATAACAGTCAAGTGTTATCATTGAAAGGCCTCTTTTGTTTTCAAAATACTATTGTTACTATTTGATGAAAGCAATGGTTTTGTATGCACATCCTTTCAAAAGATATGTTTTCCCCAGAAAATGGGAATATTTTGATGCACGGGCAAGTTACTATTTTTTACATGGTTTATTTCTCCACGTTATAAATTTTAGCAAAAAAATCCCGCAGCAACGCGCGGGGAATCATCTAGTATTCTTAAAAAGTTGGTCCCAACTCTCTCAACAAAGTGTCCACCTCAACGTCCCACTTAGCAATATATTTAAGTCTTCTCTCCCACTATGCCATGCAAAATCTTCCACATAAGAGAGTCATGCATTTAACTTATAAATTAAAATTATTTTTGCATTAGTCTATGCATGTAACGCTGCCATATCATATATTCATGTTAGTCATCCTTCATATTTTTGTTCGAAGTAACATTTTTAACTACAATTCAAAAGTTTGTATTCTATTTGTAGACACTTTCTCCTATTGATTTTCAAGCTTATACTTTATTTTCATTAGATTTAATTATTTTTAACAACTACTTACGCATTTTTTAATAAAGTTACCGCAGCACCGCGCAGTAAGAGAGTCATCCCCGCTACTCTATTTATCTTGACATGTACACATGTCAACCAAGCTATCACGCCATCTCGGCAAGCATGCAATTAAACTATTGAATTTCCCTGCTCTACCATGATGCCATGTCATCACTTATGTTTTCATTTCATTTTATTTGCTTCAATTTACTAACCATGAGTTCATTATCTCCTTCATGCAAAAAGAAGCAGCACAAATGGTTGGCTGTTCACATCCCCACTATCTCGTCGATATTCAACTTCTTCAGGAAACAAGTCTAGGAGTAACAGCAGAAGGCATCGCTTCATTCCCTCATAACATGTCCTTCTCACACGAGTTCTTCTAATAAATAGGAACGACCTCATCACCTGACGAGGATTCATGACTTTTTTTTCTTCCCTTGCTTGATTTCTTCCGCAAAACCCAGACCAACGTGGATATTGTACGATTGTACATACCTAGAGGTTCAAAGGCTGATGTTGGTGTGGGAAAACAATGTCATCGATTTTGTTGTGGTCGTGGACAACGTCGATGTCAAGACAGGGACAACTACGAGGCAGGACGAGAGGGCAAAGTGCTACATGTCATTGACCATGTTGACCAAATCGGACGGGGGCGCACTGCCGCTGAGGATGTTGCCGCGGGCAACACCATGAAGCCACCTCGATCATGCCATCTGGCCCACTTTCTTCCGCAGTGTCATGCAGCCCAGCAGGTTCTAGCATGCACGCGTCCCACATCTCTTACTGTTTCTCCACCACTCCACTAGTAGAAAAAGGGGCAAATCTGAGACACATTAGTGTCGGTTTGATTTTGAGCCGGCACTAATGTGTCCATTAGTGCCGGTTCCAACGGCTAGCCGGCCGCTCTCATTAGTACCGGTTCGTGGCACGAACCGATACTAAAGAGAGTGGTGGAAGGATGTTGTCAGTCCGGGGCCCGTCCAGCACCTTTAGTACCGGTTCGTGCCACGAACCGCTACTAAAGGTCGACGTACATAAACCCTTCGTCCACCCGAGCCACTCTGTTCTTCCCCTTTCCCCTCACTTTCCTCTGTTCTTCCCCTCTCTTCCTCGAGCTCCTCACAAATTTTTCCCAAAATTTGTCAAGATTTGAAGGCCCCCATCCATTCAAATGATCACAAAGGTTAGCAACTTTGTCCTTTCAACTCTCATTGCTAGATTAGCTCTTGCAATGCTTTGTATAGTGATTAATTTGGGAGGAATTATATTTGCTAGTATTTGATTTATATGCAATTTGAGGTCAAAAATAACACTTAGTTTGCATATGTAGGTGTGGTTTACTTAGTGCCTTCTAAATCTCCGTCGTAACCACCGTCGATCGCCCGCACCGTCCCGTCGCCGGCACCACCTTTTGGTGAGGCTCTTGTTCATGAATGTTTTACATTACCAAATTGATGTTTGTGTGATTTGGATATATAGTTACTCGTATAATTGTCTTACCCGTACGTTGTTTGTTATATATAGTGCCATGGTTTTGATATCCGTCCCCATCGCCCCTCGTCCTTGTTATGATTCGGATGTGGTATATTCTCTTTTAAAACTAGTTGTTGCATTTTGTGTTTATGACAAATTATGCCCATCAAGTTGACATAGATATTTTTATCTAGGAGGTATGTGAACCGAAAATTCCAACCGACCCTATTGTCGAGAGGTTAAATTTAGTTGAAAGAGAAAACGAGTATTTGAAAGAAAAATTGAAAAGAATTGAGGGGGAGAAGATGGAATTGGAGTTGCATGTTGCCGATGTCGTCGATGATCACAAGATCAAGATGGAGAAAATGAGGTTGAAGATTAGAAAGATTAGAAAATATGTCATTGATAGTGTGGCTTGGTATCATTATGCTGTAGGATCAATTGTTACCTTAGTTGCAATTTTGATCGCATTTGTTGTTGCATTTAAATTCTTTAGCTAGAGAGTTATTTGTTGCATTTAATTAAGTGTTGTATATGAACTTTATGTATGAACTTTATGTATGAACTTGTATTAATTTGGTCTATTCGGTGTTGTGTATAATGAAGATATGAGCTGACAATGGTTGTATGATGACCGATGCTCTCCCAGGTTCATTAATGGAGTGCATACTTTTCTCCTTGCCGCTGAGGCAAACAAGCGGGCGGATGGTTTTATGCCTTGTCCATGTGCTGGCTGTAACAATGGTCGCAATTACTCTATGTCAAGAACCATTCACGTCCACCTATTTGAGTCCGGTTTCATGCCCCACTATAATGTTTGGACCAAACACGGAGAAAGAGGGGTTATGATGGAAGACAATGAAGAAGAAGAGGACGACGACATCTATCCTGGCCATGGGTTCCCTGAATACGATGATACAACAATGGAGGAAGAAGCTGAGCCGGCAATGCGGGAACAAGCTGAAGAAGAGGCATCAGATGAGCCCGCTGATGATCTAGGTCGGGCCATTGCCGATGCAAAGAGAAACTGTGCAAGTGATTTGGAGAGGAAGAAGTTGCAGCGCATGTTAGAGGATCACAAGAAATTGTTGTACCCGAATTGCGAAGCTGACAAAAAAAAGTTGGGCACCACACTGGAATTGCTGCAATGGAAGGCAGAGAATGGTGTATCTGACAAGGGATTTGGAAAGTTACTGGTAATGATAAAGAATCTGCTTCCAAAGGACAACGAATTGCCTGAGAGTACGTATGAAGCAAAGAAGGTTGTTTGCCCTCTAGGGTTAGAGGTGCAGAAGATACATGCATGCCCTAATGACCGCATCCTCTACCGCGGTGCGTACGAGGATTTGAACGCTTGCCCGGTATGTGGTGC